TAGCTGTTCTGTGTTGATAAAGTATCCAATATTCATAATAACAATGGATTAAAGGATTTACTTTGTAGTTTTGTCAAACAGAACGATCAGAAATAGGATCCTTGAATTGGCACGAGCCGCTAAACTACTCAGTGTAAGATTTAAATGCCATAGGTGCACACTATACATCTTTCATATGAAATAGTATTTTACCAGGCAATTTAAATGTAGGCTTTACTACTGTTGTATTTATTTAACTATATAAATATTTAAAAGTGCTATTGATTGTTAAGTAGGCATTCTTGGTTATGTGCACAACAATAAAGTTTGGAAATAAGTAATATAAAATGATGGTATATTGGAAAAGATATTGTAAAGGCATAATCACTTTTCATCTATATACTATATAGTTTGTACTTTACAGCATTTTTTATTTAATATAAAAAGGAAGTTCCTAGTCAAAAGTCCTTCATTTTGGCTAAATGTGGCTCTCCATCAATGAAATAAAACAGTACTTTCTTCCAGTAAATTTTAAATCACACTGAGATTCCAGGGGCACCATGGCTCAGTGGTTAAAGATGCTGGAGCTGGCCAGCTTTACCTTTACACTGAGATTATTAATGTTACATTTTCGAGAAGAGGGGCTTTCAGTGACTGTTCTGAATCCTCCTTTAGATGACATATATTAAGCAAACTAAAATTAGATAAAGCAAATATTTTAGCACAGAAAGATGGACTTCAATCTTTCATAGCAGCAAGTTATTAAGTGAATTCCAAGAAATAATATTGGAAAATATGAAAAAAAATTAATTTTGAAATTTAAGGAATAATGATTTCATAGCAAAAACAGAAAATAAAAAAACCCTTCATTATGCAGTCTTCAAAATTACCACCTGGAAAGAGAGAGCAGATGTGCATGTAGGTTTCTTCTATTATTTCAAATTTCCAAAATGTTTATAACTTGAAGATTTACTGAGAGTACTGGTCAATGAGTACAACCTCCCAGAAACTTTTTTTTTCCAGTTGCTGGTATAGGTGAAATCTGCTTTGTTTATTCGGTCCTTATAGGTGCAGTAAAGTCATCAGTCAAACGTCTAGTAATGTCTGCAAAAATGAAGAATATCATATTAAAACATTTATTAAAGAACCTACAACATAGGCAACTATACATTTATTGGTCAAAAATGTTATACAATGCATGGAAGTTCCAGGGGCTGAAATAGAAGCCACAGAAGATTTAAAGCTGATCAGCTTGCTTTCATATACCACCTCTTATGTCCAGCTTTTCCTTCTACAAGCAGATGGAAAGGGCTTTCAGGGAAGTGGCATAAAACAAATCTGCAGAAGCACTGCTCTTGCCAAATGATACCTAAACCTGTTGTCCAGCTGGCACATCATTTGCCCCCCCTTTGCAAACTTTCAAACTGTCACCAAGGCTGCAAACTGAAGACATCAAAAACTAGACGCCCCAATTGTACACCTCCATGGAGAAAATGCCAGATATTTGTTCTCTCTTCTACAGAGCCTTCACAAAAATGAGGTTTGTGCTTCCGCTGACAGTCCTAAAGGTCAGATTTCAAAACATCTTTTATAATAAATGAAATTATCCTCATGGATTAGGAATAATAGAAAATGCAATTTTATTCATAAGACTTTCTGTGAGGTTAGGAGAGTCAATGCTTGCATTTTTTGCAGAGACATAGAGCTGAAATTGGCAGCTAAGTGTGATATAAAGATTTCCAAAATTCTCTTTGGAAAAAAGACAGATCTGGAAGTTGTCCATATGTATTTTAGACAGCATTTTTGTGAGCAGACAGCAGAAACATTTATTTTGCAGCCACTGGAAGTCGTAGTCCCATCTCTGAGTCGCATACTCTGAGTAGCCTTTCAGGATTAAAGGTTAACAAAACTTCATCTTTTTAGCTTTAAAAATTTGGAATTTTATCTTTAAGATGGAAAAACCTTCAGAACCATGAGTTTACCAGTTGCTGGATGGATGGGATTCTTCATCCCATCAGTTTAAAAAGAAAGAACATCAACTTTGTACGATGTTTATATTTTTAAATTTCTTCTAATATATAGCAAAGATTCTATCAAGAGTTGTTGTTGGGAAGCTTTATAAATGCTAAGGGTTGTGAAACTGACTTAAAGATTACGTTAATTAGAAAATATATCTTGCTTACAAAACAAGATTTGAAAGTTGATTCTAGAGCACAAGATAGCTTCATCTAAAGGAAATGTTTGATTTATGGGCCTATGAAGTACCATATTTTTCACACTATAAGATGCACCAGATAATAAGGCGCACATTAGCTTTAGAGGAGGAAACAGCTTGGTCAGCTTCAGCATGTTACTGCAGCCCCAGTATGTGGCTGGACAGGGCTCCACTCCGTTGTGCCCACCACCAGTCAACTGACCTGAACTGCTGCCACTGGCGGGGAACACTGGAGCCTTCACTGCCGAGCAGCTGATTGGCAGTTGGATCGGCCTCCCCGAATACTGATCAGCTGTTCTAGATGGCAGGGATTGCTGCCTCTGTTCACCGTTCCTGCCATTTGGTGGCGGCGATTGGCGGCAGCAGCGATCCCTGCCGCCCAATAGTGGGTTCCACTTACTTTCACTATTGGTTCGGAACTGTAAGCACTTGTGTGTGCTCGCTTTGCTCGCATGTGGTGCTTCTGTGCATGCGCAGAGCATCCGTGATGATGTCCGGGTGGGTGGCCAGAGCCTCCTGCTGCCATCACTACCGGTTCGCCCGAACCAGCCCGAAACCTACCACTGCCACCGCCTAGAACAGCTGATCAGCGGTATTCCAGGAGACCACTGATCAGTTGCTCAGCAGTGAAGACTCCAGGGTTCCCTGGCGGCAGCAAATGGTGGCAGCAGTGACAGGCAGTAAACAGCACCACCACACCAACCCCTGCCGCCGCAATATTCACTATTCATTCTATAAGATGCACAGACATTTCCACCCAGGTTTTCAGGCCATCTTCAAATAAATTGCGTTTCAAACAAAGTCTTTTTTGAAACAAACTTCCATTTTATTTAGCACGGCAACTTTTACACTGACTCCATGCAGCCAGCACTGACGTGCTGACCCAAAATCCCTCCTCTTCCTTCCCCCACTCCTCTGCATTCATTGGCCATCTTCCCAATCATTCACCCCTAATCTACTGCTCCAATTCAAAGAATTTCCCCCCTCCCATCATCTCCTAGGGGACATTATCTCCAGCTAAAGTAAGTAGGTGAAAGGCAACCGTCCCGTTGCAGACACTTGCGTTCTCCTTCTCATGTCAGCACTAGGATAAATGCATCTTGACGTGCTGACATTGTCTTATAGTGCAAAAAATACGGTACTAGAATGTTTTTACAGGAACCAAAAGTTACCACTGAAGATGAACAAATCCCTCTGGACATAATTGAAATGGATCTAGGGTGATTTTAAAATTATAACTTGTAGACAAAGATAGAAATACTGGATTTACAAATGTAATTGGGCGATCATTTAAAAACTGAGTAATACATTAAAAACTATCCTTTTAAACTGAAATATAACAGAATTACTGGAGTCGATTTATTGAAATTAAAAGTGGACTTGAAAGAATTTTGAGAAAAAGAAAAAGATAGAAGAAAACAAGGGTTTTATTTATCTAATCCAAGAGTGGCTGGAGGAAGGAGCGTGTATGTGTGTGTGTTGCTTTTTGATTAAACAATGAGTTCTTATTTCTGATGATGCTTAATGGTTATTTGAATTGGATAATTTGTCTTTTGAAAATGTTTAATGGTATAATGGATTAGCTTTTGATATCTAAATAAAGAGCTATTATTTTGGTAATGTTTAATAGTTTTTAATCTATTTCTGCATGTTTAATTGTTAAGAGAGGGATGAGGGGAAGTTATATTAAATAAAAAGGAAGATTATATACCTCCATTATTAGGTATTTTTGTTAATTTTTATTGGATATTTGCTGATTTGTAAGGAGAATTGAAGATTTAGATATGTTTTTATAGAAATTAGGGTGAGGTATGGAATGAAGAGGTATTTGACTGTTTTGAGAGGCACTGATAAGTTATTAATGTTGAATATATATTTCTTGGGTGTAAAATGGAAGTTTCTTCTTATTTTTTATTTCTTTTCTTTTTTAAAGTTCTGCACTTTCTAATTTTTTTCTTTTATGAATTATTTTTGTATTGTTTTTATATTTGTCTTGTCTGTTTAATATAATCCATAATAAAATTATGTTGAGAAAATGCTACTTTATGGTATCTTTTACAGACTGCATTACACTCACCCTTTTGACTTTTCCAGGTTGTAAATTCTGACAAAAATCTCATTACATATAATGTCACAAAATTCTGTGCAATAGCACATAGAACCTGACATGAGATAATGCCACTTTTGTGAATCTAATTCTGTCTTATCAGTCTTGGAGCATTTTAAATTTTAAATGTTTTTGTTTATGTAGGTTGTCTACACTGGTCAATTCTCTAACAAATGACTTACTGTACAGACTTACAAACAACACAATTGCTTAGTTATTATGCATGCTATCTTGCTTGCTTTGGCTATAATTTCTCTTTCCACTCTTCCTTCTCTGTAGACTAAATAGTGGATTAGAAAAATTGATGTGGCTTGTGATTCTGAATATCTGAATGAATGCATTTAAAGTGGATCTCTGAAACATGTACAAATGCTCAGTTACAAGAGGGTAATATGTATAATATGTATATGTATTTTTGCAGCAATTCTTCTCAGCCCCACGGAGTTTACAATCAACAAGTCTCTGTCTCTCCCGTGTGGTCTGGATTAATGGCTTCGGTGGGCCGTATCTGGCCCCCGCGTCGTAGTTTGAGGACCCTGGTGTCAGACAAAGAGATGAATGCCATCCATTTTATACTTTTGTATCAAAAATTCAACTGGCAATAGTCCTCAGATAGCTTAGCAAATGATATTGGCAGCCATTCCAGACAAACATGAAAATGTTAAGAAGAAAAAAGGAAACTAGCTGCTACCACATGATGCAATTCCTAGAAGAGTAACATGCCCACACTAACATAACAGAGACAGCATCACCAGCAAAATTAACAGTTTACCTGTGATGTGTGTCTCTGTGTCTGCCAGCTGTAAAAATGTTTGGATTCAGGTGAGCAGTAGTAAATTGATACCAACTTCTGAGTTGGATTTTTCAAACAAATACTTCAGAAGGGAAACCCCAGGGAAATATAAAGTAGCTATGATACTTCTAATAGTTATGCTTCCCATCTAGAGCTTTTAGTTTATATTTTCACTATATTGTTGATCCAAAAAAATCTGTTATTTACTGTTTATATGAACATTTATCTAAAGTCAAATAAACTTACAGTCATATAAACAATTTGTGCTGATGTAAGACCAAGTTCATAATCTTGGGATGGATGTGTATATTGGGAGGTTAAATGTGGACATTATGGAATAACAATTGTACCCTATGTTCTATTTAAGATGTAATTTTCTCTATGTAGAAACAGTTCATTTTTATATAAAACTCTAATTTCCTAAAAGATATAAAGCAGTTTCTGTTTAAATTGATATTTCTCTTGTACAGACATAATAATTTACAATGTCTATTTATTTAGAAATACATTCTAGGCTGTTTAAAATGGTTGAGTTTTTATATGTAGAATTTCAGCTAAAATTGCATCTTGTCTAACTGAAGAGAAAAAGTTACTTAATTCAAAGGCAATCAAATTTATTTAAAGTGTATATATACAATGTACATAAGACAATGAGGATGCAAGACCTCTAGTTAGTTCCTTAGCATAATTATAATCAATGCTCCCAGGAACAGAGAAATGCATGTTGCAATCAAGCACAGTTGTTGCTACTGTGTCTTTGATCTGTCCCATGAGACTTCTGTAAATGCAAATGCCATTTCATCAGCTCTCTCCTAGTAAAGAACTTTTAAACAACGTTATCCATCTCCTGCAACGTCATGTGTATGTTTATGTATGCCAAATACAATATACACATTCCTTTGAGAATGGAGTTAGTTGTATGATTCCCATAAACAGAAGAAAAAGATGGACGTATTTGTATTTAACACTGCTAGCTCTTTTTTTTTTTTTTTTAATACACAGGAAAATGTGTATTCTTAAATTCTTAAATGAAAAAGTTCATTGTACATAATGCTTCATCTTGATGGAATGACAAAAGGGAATTTGTTATCATAGCAGAATAGTCTAAGTGGCCTTGCATGTTCCTCTGATACCACTTTAAGCAAAAGGGGCTAAATCATTTAAACAGAGCTGCCCATCCAGCTCTCTGGGGATGTGACAATTCACACAATCCATGACAATCCACACATAAGCCCATTTTTAGATAAGCCAACCCTCATGCTGTTGGTATTTTGGTTAAAAATTTGAAAGTCAGCTTAATTGCAGATGGATTATATGTGAGTATATACGGGGTATATGGGTATTTGAAAAAGTATTATCGTATATACTTGGAGATAAGCCCATATGTAGATAAGACAAACTCATCATCTAAAATTAGTCTAATTAAAATTAGTTTAGTCTAAAATAAGACTAAAGTTCTATAGTCTTATCTGTAAGTATATACATTAATTATATCTTGCCACTCTTTTATCAACCACAAAATAAATCTTAATAAAGAATTTTAGCCATGGTCAGTTGAATTTGTTTTTCATTCTTTTCCAGGGGTACAGTATGCACCTCTTCTGCTACTTTATCTTCTGGAGTGCCTCTGAAAACCTGAAGGCTTGCCAGGATCCACAGGTAGTGGGGGTCTGCACAATTGTGATGTGACCTGAGCCAATCATCACCTCTGCATTCTAGACAGCAACTAAGGCCTTTGTTGATTTGTCATCAAAAACAGGAAATTCTCTTTGGAAGTGAGCAAACCATCAAGCACCTGGGATAAACTGATTGAATAGGACATTCCTCTGTTAGAGGAGTCTGCTCTCCCAAAACACCAACTCTCCCCCACTTTTACCTATCACATCCTCACGTCAAAAGGCTCCATCAATAACACAATCATGGAGAAAATCTATCTAAATAAGGCCAACAATTTACTGACATACTAAGAGAGGAGCAGTTTTGCTCTCAACACTATCTCCCAACAGTGGCACTTATTGCCACTATAGCTGAATCCAGCTAGTTTGCTGCTGGCCATCCTCTTCTTCTCTTTCTTTACATTTTTCCCAGCATCAGAGCCTTCTCTAGGGATCTAAATCTTTATATAATGTGTCTGAAGTAGGATAATTTGAGCCTGACCATTTGTACCTTGACTAAGAATCTGGGTTAATTTGTTAAATAATTATGATAATGTAATTGCTAAGAGTCAATATGAATTCAACAGCACATAATCAACCAATTACTGGTGTTATTGATTCTTATCTATCTTATGGTATTAAATTTTATCTTGGTGTTTAAATTATTGATTATATATTGCTGCTGCTTTAATTGTTTGTTGTTTGACAAATTATAGTGAATCCATAGGTAAAGATAAAGGTTCCCCTTGTTCAACTTGGTGCTTATCTCCGTTTCTTAGCCGAGGGAGCCAGCATTGTCTGAAGACACTTCCGTGTCACATGGCCAGCATGACTATATGCCAAAGACGCATGGAACACCGTTACCTTCCCACTAAAGTGGTACCTATTTATCTACTCACATTTGCATGTTTTCGAACTCCTAGGTTGGCAGGAGCTGGGGCAATTCACCCTGTCATGCAGCACTTGGGTCTGAAACCCGGGCTGTCAGCTTTCCATTTGACAAGCTCGCAACATTTGTGAATCCATACTAGATGTCTAATAGTAGATACCCCTCAACCATTAAGAAGGAGAGAAGGTGCCACTCAATATACACCTCTGAACGACTGAAAAATTATAATTGATAATTCATGGCATCCACTCAAAGCAAAATCTAAGACAAGGTGCCTTGTTTGTTGTTTTAACGATAACTTGAGACAGCCTCCTGATTTCATGGATTTCGTTAAATTTGGGTTCACTTTCTGAAGTATCTTCAGCATGGATGTTAAAATTTTCTAAGAACCATAGTCCTGCAATTCTGCACCATTAGATTAGCTCCAGATAACACAGATCCAGTGCATTATGTACTACAAGTATATATGTCATGCTTCTCAAGTATATATATCTATGCATGGTGCTTGGATATAATTTTTTAAATGAAAGTGATGATTGCTTTTGAACAAGCCTATTATCAATCACCATGATGGGCAATGTTGCAGATATCCAGTTTTATGTCAAAGCTAATGTTATCCTGACAAAAACAATTTATGATGTAGATTGGCAGGCAGTACATTATTCATCAAATCACCTAGGTAGACTGAATGTAGGGTTGAATTTAGGTTTCCATTATCTTAACCAATATATCACATTGGCTGTCAACTGTAGGTTTGACATTGTTTATGGCATTCTGACCGCCTGGTTACAACCTAAATATTTCAATTATTTCAGATATGGCTTTTATATAAATAAGCAGGGAAGTGTTTTTGTTATTATTGCTCTTTATATATGTGTGAGGAATGGAGATTGTGAAGAAATACTAAAACAGACTATTTAATTCTGCTCCTTTGAGGATTCATATCCAACCTCCTCTACTTTCTTATCAGATGTTCTACAGTTAAAGTACCTTTATTTAAGTTACTATGAAAGCAAATGGAATGGAGATTTATCTTGTGACGTGTTTGCTGGTGAAGAAATTTGGCTATTTCCACCAAAAAAATATTTTGGGACAAAATTCTCTGTAGGTGTACAAATACAAATCTGAGAACGCGTAAATTATATCTGAAGCACAATTCAAGGCTAGCAGTCTGCTGATATTTCTTTTGCTATTTTTTTTATCCTGAAACCTCTTTGTTACAGATGTATTAATTTAAGTAATTTAACATGGAATACTTTTTCTGTTTGAACATTTAGATATTTCATAGAATTAGAAAGATAATTTCAATTTAATCTAGGAAATTTAAGAGAGAGAGTTAAAACAATACTTTCCCCACTCCAAGTAAGGAAACTCAAGCAAAGCTCATTCAAAAATCTGGCAAGAACAGTTCAACAAATATGGAAAACATTGCAGGACAAATAAGGAAAGATGGTCACAAATGAGACATTCCATTCAGTCATAAAACAGGTCAGTCACATAATTTCATGATCTTTTTTGGAGCAGTTGTTAAGTGACTGCTTGGTCATTAAGTGAACCAATGCTTTGCACTGGGTGCAATTTTTGCTGAAAACCAGAAATAAATGCTGAGTTTTGGCAAAACCATCATAAAAAGCAGGCCATGTGACAGTGGGACCTTACAAATGGCTGTAAATGCAGCTCAGTTGCTGAGTGCTGTGTTTGGTCACATGGTTACAGGGAGGGGGGGGACTATTGGAATTTAGTATCTCAGTCATAAGTAGACCCAGGTAGGTCCATTGGAGGTCAAGGACTGCCTATATTTGAAAAGCATACATTTAATCAATCAGCATTTTCTTATGTCATGTTAATAGGGAGGAGTGGATTAATCTGTTGAATTTGATTTTGCCTAGTTTCTCAATTTTTCAAACTTAACATCACAGTCTCGTGTTCAATTTCACTACCCTTTTTAAAAGTTCATATGTAAAGGTTCTCATACACACTTACAGATCACCATATTTTTCCTAATGAACACACTTGCACATCGTACTTTCCTTTCATAATGCAATCTTGTATTGTTTTCACTGATATAAACAGTTTCCACACATTTTTGGTTTTGAAAAATGATTGTATTGAAATGTTACTTCATTCTGGTTTGGAAAATACAAATACATTTTCTCATGTGATTGATGTGTATGAAAAAGTTGCAGATTTAAGAATAAATGCAAATAATGCAGTCCTGTTATATAAATATTTCACCTATAAGTCATATGACACAGTTTTCAGCTGCTCAGGTTTTTTTCCTCATCATTAGGAATGGAATCTTATTCATATTCTTATGTCACTATGCCGAAAAGAACAGTGCTAATGCTATTCCCATAAAATAATTCAAATTTATAGTGAGAGATTATTACAATAAGAGGCAGATAGAATGCATTTTTGCCTGGTGCAAACTATGTAAACTATTAAAAACATATTTGGTTGGAAAGTATGTCTCAACATCATTCATCTTTGATTAATAAAAGACACTGTCTCCAAATAAAATATTAGGTAATTGTCTGATTTAAGTGGAATCACTTCCAAGGAAAGCGAGCAAAGTTAAATCGATGAAACATTTATAACTATTTTTTTAAAAAAATTAGATTTATATGCCGCCCTTCTCCAGAGACTCAGGGCGGCTTACAATGCGTTAAGCAATAGCCTTCATACTTTTGTATATTTTATACAAAGTCAGCTTATTGCCCCCACAAACTGTCAAACCTTGATAGGTTACCCTCTGAAACATAAATGGCTTCATCATAGAAATTTGCTAAATGATTATGTAACTCTGATACAGAAGGCTAGTTTTCAGTTGATGCAGGGATATAATGCAGACTTAATGACCAACCTGAAGAGCTGGCCATTTAGGCAAGCTGTTCTTTGAAAACTCCTCAATTCTCTTTATCTGCAGGCTGGTTTTGCAAGAGTTAAATCAGTGCCCCAGCAACCCAGTGAGTGCATCTATCCAGCAATGCTCTGCTGCCCAGCAGCTTCCTTCTTCCTTTTCAGGATTGCACTGGAAATTGCCCAAACAAGCAGAACCAAGCAGACTGCAAAGGTCACACCTGGCGTGTGGCCAGCTTGCTCTCTGGCTCCAAAACTGCACCCCCAATTGCCAGGTTCAGGGCAGTCTATGTTTTCCCTCTTTTGTTTCCCTTTTCTTCCCCCAGCTGTTCCATTCATAGGCCCAAGCTCAGCAATCTGCCCTTCCAGAAAAAGAGCCCCTTATTAAGCTGAGCTAACTCAAAGGGCCAGCTCAGCACGTGCCACTCCTTATCGGCACCATCTCAAGATCCTATTCCATGGTGCTTAGGCAACAAAAAAAGTAAATGGTTTTAACTCCCATTGGCTCCCCTACAGCAATTCAAACAAAAGTGCAAAGCAACAAAGACATTTTCCACCATGGCAGGTGTTGGTGTCAAATTCTGCCTGAAGCAAACAGGCGCAAGAAAAAGAAAGAAGAAAGAGAGAGAGAGAGAGAAAAGGAGAGAGAAAGAAAGAAAAGAAGGAAGGGAGAGGGTTTTCTAACAAAGCTTAGAAATTCAGGGCCAGAGGGCTACCAATAATATTCTTCCTAGTGCTCCTTAGCGAACCAGACATAAACAAGGACCATTTGATCTCAGAGCAAACCCAGTGGAAAAGCAAGAGACCAATCAAAATTAAATGACAGCTATTTCAGCTTCATGTAAGCAACAGAAGGAATGTAGTTAGTAAATTGAGAATGACGCCATGTGAGCAAACTCTTACCTTTCTCAATTACCGTAACGAGATCATTACATATTTTAATCTAAAGGGAAAGAACACAAATGTATGTAAATATGGGAATAGTGCACCTGCTGCTCTGATGACAGTCTTATACACATATTATTAGAGTTATTAGAAGAGAAGAGGACACAAGTTGGAAATAAACCTAATGAGCATCAGCAACATTATGAAATAATATGTAGATTAGTAATAATTCTACAATGCTGTTTTCGCTTATTTTAATACATTGTCTAATATAGTTTATTAAAAGCTTGAAAATTGTACCTGGAGTTATCATGCAGATAGACTAGCATATTGGTATATTCAACTTTATTACAATCTTCCCCCAAAACTCAGAGTAATGTTTCTCTTTATGCAGTTGTGAACTTGTAAATAAATATTCAGAAATGGATATCACCCAATTAAACAAACAAATCCGTCCTTACTGTTTTGTTTTTACAGCATGGTGGAAGTTTGTATTTTTGGCAAATACGATAGAATATTGTTGCACTTGTTATGTTTTCCCATCCACTCAATTTTTAAAGATTTTACAGATAGTTCTTAAGTTACGAATGTAATGGAGCCTGTCCATTCCATTTGTAACCAGAGGATTCGTGGGAGTGAATCTCATACCTTGAATGTGATCACTCCCTTTCGCTCCCTCATTCACTAATCGACTGCGCAGCTTGTTAAGTGCACATGAGATATCTCGGGGGGGGGAAGGCCGGGGGGGGGGGGGCGGCTAGTGATGGAACAGGCCACGTGCTTCAGACTACCCAAGGTCTCCCCCGAGCCGCATTCTCTCTCCCTGGGGTCCTCATAATTGGTCCCCCCCCCAACCTGCCACACCAGTTCACTTACCTGATGAAGATCTGTCTCCTCTCTAGTCTGTTTCTTTGCCTACTCTCTCCTTTTCTGTTGCCAAAATCTTCCTCAAGCAGTTCAGCAGCAAGAAAGGAGGCCCGGAAGGGCGCACATGCCCTTCCAGGCCTCCTTTCTCACCACCGAACTGCT